TTACCTTCAAGTCGGAAGGAGTAGGTTACAGTGGGATGAGGCGATCTTTAAAGCCATACTACAGATGAGTTGGAAACGTGCTTTGGTTAGATGCTGAGTTCACTTAGACAGTTCTTTACATGTCTAGCGAACCATCGTGGCAGGTGGATCTGCGGATGTCTCTTCAGCAGTACGCATCTGTTTGCCAGCTTTCTGGAGCCCCTTTTGTGAAGGAGCCACAGAGTGAGGCTTGTTTGCTGTCCGCGCCTACAGCAGCTGCGGCTTCTCTTCCATTATCCTTTCTCAAGTGAAGGCAAGCGCGGTGGTGCCTGTTCTGCAGACGAGAGAATGCACTCTGTGCGGGTTTTCCTCTGCGTTCAAGTGGACGGGGAGTGCAGAGGGGCTCAGCTCAATGGGAAGAGAGGTCACGCAGCATCTGCCCTCCTGTTTGTCTCCGCACTTTCAGTCTTGAATATAGGATTTGTTGAGTGAGAGTGGAGCAGAAGTTAAGAAATGCACCACTGCTTAGTTTCTCAGCCAGTTTGGGGGCTGGAGGTGGGGAGCAGGAGGTGAAAAAGGGACACAACTGGTTTACTTTTTTATGATTAAATCCGTTATTTCATACTCTGCACTTTGGAGAGTCCTTACTGCACTCTTTCTGTTTAACTGTTAACTGACTAAAGAGAAAGTCATAAAAGAATTTTCCACCTCTAGCATTCATGGTCAAACTGCTCTCCGTAAGAACTGGCCTGACGCTGTCCTGCAGGACTGTCTGGCAACAATGCAAAAATATGTAAGATGACCAGGAATGTCTCCACCTCAAGAAGGAAAAAACAAAACCAAAAACCCACAGGAAAAGCATAATCTCACAGAAGTGTGGAGAAATGAGAGGAGAAACAAAGTGAAGGCAAAGGACAAGAAAGCATAGTAGACTGCGTAGAAACCCAGGGACTATCAAGCGTCTCACCTTTTGCATAGGGTTTGCCTTTGCCTCTCCTCCCTCCGCCCGTCCCTCTCTGCCTACTGGGATTGAACTCAGAGCCTCTGCACCACCCAAGCCACCTGCCCCTTTAAATTTTAAGACAGGATCTTGCTAAGTCATTAAGTTGCCCAGGCTGGGCTGAAACTTTCAATCCTCCTGCCTCAGCCTCCAAGAATACTAGGATTACAGGTGTACAGCACTACACCTGCCTTGCTGTCTCTTTTATAGAGATTTGTGACTGGTCATGGCAAAAATGGGGACCTTGTCTGAGCGGTATAGTCATAGAAAAAAGTCTATTGAATACACATTAACTTGTTAACAGTGGTTACCTCAGGAACTACTGAGAGTGGGGATTTCCAACTGGGGAATAAGTGATGGCCTCCAATAGGTCACACTTTTATTTAGATTTCATAGTGCAACTGCATGCTTCTGCTTAAACCCAACTTCCTGAGAGCCAATCCTAAGAGATGAGGCTGGGGAAGTCGTGTCCCTGCAGAGTTGCAAAGCCAACTCTGACTGAAGCAGGCAGTATTTCTGAAGGCTCTGATGCACGAGAAGGGTCTGAGATCACCCTGATGCCCTTCTGTATAGCCTTCCTTTTCTTTCCCTCTCTCAACCCTGGCAGCTATTCCAGGCAGGCTACCGTTCCACCAGTGGCTATATGATTTGCTGAAGCATCTTCTGTACTTGCAATCTCCCATAATATTTTCAAGCTAAAGGACCACACCAGCTTGAAATGGATGCTAGCCAGACTGGGCCTGACACCAACTCCCTTGAGACAATGTTTTGGTTTTATTTAGCTTTGTTTCTGTTCTCTTCCCCCGACAGGCTACTCAAGAGGGGGCAGCACGCATTTGCTGAGCTTTTGCCTATAATGTTCTGTGAATCCTGAAATTTTCAGAATTTCAGTGTGAGAGGGGCTCAGGTTGAACAATCTCATTGGAAGGGGGTGGGATTTGAAGTTTAATTTGCATAGGAATTGCAGGATTGAAAAATGTCATTAGACAAGGCAAAAATGGGAAGGGCAAGAGGGTCACATACATCTAAAGCCCCTCTCTCCTCTTGTCCTGGCTCCCTCTTGGTACCATGGAAGATCCAGGAGACAAAGCACAAACAACAAAGAGAAATTTACTTGATTCTTACAACCGCCTTGCATATGGTACTACTTTTCCTCACTTTTTCCTAAGAGTACCCCTGGATTGCTCAGTACCACATCCATGATTATCTCAAATGGCTGTACAGGAAACAGGACATTCTGCCAGCAAATTGGCTAAGAGAGTGCCCTAGAAACTATCTGGCCAAACATATAATCATTCAAAGCTGGACCCTAACTTTAGAGCGGTCCAACCAGCTACTAAGGCAGGTCTTTGTTATACACACAGATTATGTTTATGTAGGACTCCTAGTTCCTGGAAAGACTGTTCATTTAGCTTAAAATATGTAAGTAAATAAGAGCAACTCCTCATCCTAAAATTGGACAAATTAGAGGACAGGATTGGAAATATTCTCCTCAAGCCACAGAGCTAAGAAATGCAACTTAAATCAAATCAAAAAGGTAATTTTCCTGGGTTCAGATGGCAAAATGAGAAGCAGGATCAGGAAAAGAGAGTAAAGGCACTTGGGTATAGATGATGAGCCCTCATCATGCAGGCCCCTGGGCACCAGTGTCTCCCAGCAGCCCATGGAACCCGCTTTATGTCCCTTAGGAAGCCAGATTAGTTCACTTAGTTTTACAATGTGTTCATATATAACAGTTTTCTTCTACAGATATGTAAACACCTTTGCCTCTCTTATACATTTTTTAAACTATCTTGCATTATTCATAATCCCAATAAGTATATAAAGAAATCTAAACATCTAGACCACTTATGATGATGTATTTTATGTAGCATAATTTCTTGGAGCATTAAAAACTTAAAATATATGTTATAGAAATCTATGTAACAAATTTTATCACGAACTACAACTTTAGAAAAACTTATGTGGTGTAAGTGTGTAATACCATTAGGTAGAAGAAAGGAAGTCAAATTGAGTTTTAGAATATACTTAATCAGAATTTTTATTTCTTTTATGAGCAAAATTAAAAATTTCAAAATCAAGGTAAAAGACCTACAAAACAATAACAAATCACCACTAATAAAAATATTTTAATAATCAAGAATTAAATTTCAGACATAGAAACTGGAGGTATTAGGAAGTTATTGTTTATTTCTTGAACTCTGGTTTTAAAATTTATTCACCTTTTTATTCAAAAATCTGTACTATAATATCTGAATAATACTGAGGGTTCAAATCAGCAAGTGCCGTAATTTAATTGACCTTTGTTTCACAGCTGGGAGCATGGCAGAAATGAAGCAGAGAAGGCATGACTTGGTAGTGGTTACTCACTTAAATCAAAGCATTCTAAAGCTCAGAATGCCCTGGATCATCAAATGTCAAGATCACAAGAAAGCTTACATGCCAGTGGTCTAGCCCACTATCCTGTTGGTCAGGATGCAGATATCCCATATGAAACTGGAGGACACATGCTGGCTGGTTTTAATCCTTCTAATGTCAGAAGGTTGTGGTATGAGAAGCTAAATCCGGGGTCAGTGGATGAGCTATTGCCTGTGCAAGTTCACATCTGCTTAATTTCTAGCTCATCCTAGATCACCACACTTTGCCGAACTTACTGGGACATGCTGATGTCGCCTCAGTCCTCACATGAATCTGTGTTCTATCTCAGATGTGTTTAAAATTGGGCTTCCTACCTTCTGACATTTCACTAGGGACTTCAGTGTGTGTGTGTGTGTGTGTGTGTGTGTGTGTGTGTGTACACTTCCTGAGACTCAGTGTCCAGGGAACTGTCAGGCCCCTTTGTTGCCCTCAGATATAGAAGAAAGACTGACCATATTCAGAAGTCTCTCCCTGGAACTGATAGTTTGTCAAAGGTGAGGATTTAAGTAACCTTGTACAAATAAATACTTTTCCATCTCTCTCTCTCTCTCTTGTACCAGGACTCGAACTCAGGACCTTCTGCTTGCCAGACAGGTGCTTGTGCCACTGAGCCATATCCCCGGCCCCTCTCTCTTTTTTTAGGCAGGGGCCTTGAACTCACAATGGCCTTGAACTCACAATGAGCTTGAGCTAAATATTCTAAGATTTGACGTTTCTAAGCGGAAAAAGCAAGTCAAGAGTAAGTATGTAATTCCATTTAAAATATGCATGTAGCTTCTAAAAAGGCGAAGGTCTGGAACATGCACACAGTGACTACCTGGAGAGTGTGCCTGTGGTGTGTAGAGCAGGTGAAGAAGGGGCTTGTAATTTTTCCTCATTTCTCAATTGTCTAGATTTTTTTTTCTTAAATTCTTAAAAATACAGTACAAGACATCACGTATATTCACAAAGAACCCGTATCGATCCTGACAGTTAAGGACCAGGGAATGCTACATGCTCAATTTGACTCGTTTCACAGAGAGTTCAATTCTTGGGGATCAGGTTCTGCGCTGGGCAAGGAAGCCACCGGGATGAGTATCACCTAACCTATGGCAGGACTTAAGCGATCCCAGAGCACAGGTAAGAGGAACAGTGCATTTGGGAAAAAGGGCATTGTCACCCATTAAGAAATCACTTTCTCACCTGATTCATAATGGCCCTCTGTAGGCTTCAGCTCTCGCTCTCGCTCTCGGCAGCAGTGTCTTCCTTCTAAATGTGAACTACACCAAGCAGGAGGTGTCCCTGGGGAAAGAGAAGTCCCCTGAACGCGCCTACCGGAGTACTCAGGATAGCTCCGCAGCGGCACAAATACCCTGTCTTGTCTGGTGTCTCCGCTGAGTAATGTGAATTCTAGGGCAGCAAAGAGGTTTAGCTAGTGACTTCGAAACAAAATTTACCTGTTAACTGAATCCAGGGAAATAATTTGCAACAGAGCGGTACACGACGCAAAGTGCTATGCTGAACACTAGATTGTGTATTCTTTTTTTTCTTTTCCGCCCAACTTTACGTTTCCATGCACCAAAATGTTGATGCCGTAAATACTGGATGCCATGCTTACCTGACAGGTTTCTTCCATCCTACCCGGGCGCGGGGACTCAGAGCGAGCGCGCGAGCCGCGGCTGGAACCTGCCTCTTGCAGCCGGAGCAAGCTCGTCCGGCCGCGGTTTCCACAGCCGGCCCCCGGCGGGAGCGGTTCCCGCGCCGCGGGTCCCGCAGTCAGTACCCCGCGCGCACGCGCGCTCCGTCGGGCCGCTCCGGCGCCTACAGTCTTGGGCGGGGCCGCTCGCGAACCGCTCCGGGGGGCGGGGCGGCGAGGAGCGCCTCTGGGCACGTGATTAGCGCCAACATGGCGGCGCCCAGGGGTGTCCACCTGCTGCTCCGCAGAGGTAAGCGCGAGAACCCAGAGGGCTCGCACGGTCACCCACTCGCTGCGCCCCGGGTTAAAGGGATACATACCCGCGCACAGGAATGTGCTTTCAGTCCTCCGGACTCACGCATGCGCTCACGAGGACACATTCAGGAACGCACACATTTGTTCGTCTGTACTCGCCTGAATCACGTCACTGCGTCATTACTCCTTGAGATTTATGAGCCATTGACTCGTTTTCTCCCCCCCACTTAAATAAATTGTATAATGAGTGTTAAACACACTTATTCTGGCTACCATGCAGTGAAACTTGAGCCTGGATACGCAGTTGATTTCTCTACAGCTATTCTGTTGACATTCTTTTGAGGAACTTGTAGATGAATGACTTAAGAGATTATTCTTTTCTGATGATTTAAGAGAACAAATGTCTGAGTAGTTCCAAATAGATATTACCCTGACTGTTGAGGTTTTAGTTAAACGTACAAATACGTTTGTAGCTGAATTACGGGAATCTGTTGGATTTGAATTACTCTCTGAATCTTTGCTGGAAAGAACTTCGAAATTGTTTCATGGATGAAGAAACAAAAGTAAATATATGATGAGGGGCTACTTAAGGGTCAGGCACGTGAGACAAACAGCCAAGGTAGATATTTTAATAGTGACAGTTACCATTTGTGTGTTTAGTACATTTGATAATTGTGTTAAGCGCTTTACGTACACTGGCTGCCTTTTAAAAATCTAGCGAGTTAGGACTTACTCTCTTAGGAAACAGAAAAAATGAGGCTAGAAAAGTTAACTAATACGACTAAGGTCCCATAGATGGTAAGAGGCGGAGTGTGCATTTGACCATGAACCTTTTTGGGGCCGGGATGGTACTTGGAATTGAACCCAGTGCCTTCACATTGATTTACCTCCCCAAACCTTTATTATGTATATGCTTTTATTTTTATTTTGAGACAGGGTTTCACTAAGTTGTCCAGGTTGGGCTCAAACTTGCCATCTTCCTGCCTCAGCTTCCCAAAGTGCTAAGATTACAGGTGTGAGCCACAATGCCAGGCTTTTTTAAAAAGTGCTCATTTCAGTGGCATAGTCTTTCCATAGAAATCCGCACAGAGTTCAAGTGAGATAGGCAAGTACAAGTGTGTGCAAGAAGATGAAGGTGGTTATAGAAAGGAACAAAGCTGATGGATGGATAGACCTCAGTGTTTTGAATAGGGAATAACGGAAGATTTAGTGAGATATGTGTAAGGGGAAGGGTGATGTAGGAAGCATTTTGGACTGGTTACTTGGAAGAATGGTCAGCATGAGAGCTGCAGCCTGGTGGAAAGAGAGCCAAACTACATTGCTTCAGATCTAGGCTGCAGTCCAAGCTCTTTTTACTAATTAAGTTACTTTTTCTCTTTCCTTTTTTGACAAGAAACAGACATTAGACTTTATTTTTGTGCACTCCAAGTAATAATGAAAAGGATCCAAAAAGATAGTTAAGGTAGAGACTCCCCATTCCCAAAACCGTGTGTGTGTGTGTGTGTGTGTGTGTGTGTGTGTGTGTGTGTAGTTTTTACATGTCAGCAGTCCTGAACCTTTTTGGCACCAGGGACTGTTTTTGTGGAAGACAATTTGGTTTTGGAATGATTCAAGTTCACTACATTTATTATGTGCTTATTTCATTATTACTACATTGTAATAGATAATGAAATAATTATACAACGCACTGTAAGGCAGAATCAGTGGGAGCCCTGAGATTGTTTTCCTGTACCTAGCCTCATCTGGAGGTGATGGGAGATAGTGACACCTGAAGTGTGCTGCCTATGTCCAGTCTACTCTGTAATCTTGTTTTGGTTGCTGTCACTGCAGAAACCCTGCTTTATAAAGGATGTTGGAAACAGAAGCAGGCTTTCAGTGCTTTGTAAAAAATCTCAGGGTATTGGTATTTTGTCTTGACTTTAATCCAGAATGGAGATTTGAAGTTGTCTCAAACATACTTTTGAGGCCATTATTATTTGCAATCTCAAACAGTCGATCCTCAAGAGTGGACAAAGTTGATTCACCTAGCTTATTCACACATGGGTTGTGGTCCCATTTCTTTCCAATTCGGGAGTCCTTTTTTTGGCTGGAATGTAATAAACTCTTTTGAAAACTGAGATAGGTGATCATGGGCTTCTAGGTTGAAGAGCCTGGCTCATTGTCTTTCAAAAGCTCTGCTAATGTTTAAAACTTGTTAAAAATCTTAGCGTTTATTTGTTGCCTCTGTAATTCCAGTTTGGCTTTTTTTTTTCCCCCTGCCCCCGGTACCGGGAATTGAACTCAGGATGTTGCGCTTGCCAGGCAGGCGCTGTACTGCTGAGCTAAATCCCCAGCCCCTCCAGTTTGGCTTTGAATGAAACAACTTTATCTGCAGACTTGGACACAGTTGTCATTCTTTTCTGAAGGGATAGATTGAGTTCACTGAGCAGATTAAATATGTCACACAAGTAAGCAAATTTTGCAACCCATTGAGTGTCATTGAAATGTGCTGCCAGTGGTGACTTTTCCTTTAAAAAAGTCTCTAGAGAGGCTGTATTAACTCAGAAACTCTGGCCAGCAGTTTACCTTTAGAAAAAACATCTCACTTCTGTGTATGAGAGAAACGTATGTGCTCTGTGTCTGTCTCCTCACAGAACTGTGCAGACAGACCTAAGGGCATATACTTTAATGTAGTTGATAGTTTTAATCACAGCCTGTGAAATGTTTTAAGTTCAGGTGACGTTTTTCAGCTAGCCAGCATTTCTCTATAGATGATACATTATGTACACTTACATTCAGAAGTGACCTCTGTGACCTGAGCCATCCAGTCATGGCAACTGCTCCACCTGTATACATCCTGACACAGAGTGATCAGTTTTCCTGATATGTACCCATTCAGATTTGAATAGTTCTGGTGTTGGTTGACAACAAAAGTATATGTAACATATTCTCATGCATATCTTCCTGAAAAATAAAAACAAACTTTGTTGTCAACGTTGGTACATTTTTCAACCTGGGTTGTGTTCCATAGTGACTCATTAATCCTCTCTAACAATTATGTCATTGTCCTCTGCTGTTTCATTAATTTGTCTAGTTATGATGCTAGCCAAAAGAGAAATGCATACCACCTTTTGAAGTACAGCCTCTCGAAAGGTTCACAACAAATATCCTTAGTAGCAGACAGGATCAACTCTTCACCAGTAGTAAAGAGCTTATTAACTTTAGCAATGTGGTTAGCTACTACAAATGATGCTTTCAGTGCAGACAGATTTAATGAAGTGGTGGCCTTCAATAATTGCTTCTTTTTTCATGTTCATGTGTATTTGTTTTGAAAAACTCTAAAAGCTTGGTCTTTTCATGCAGTGTTTGGTCTCCATGTGGTGAAGCACTTTTAAAGGGTTCATGGCTTTGTTGGCTAGTCGGTTGACACATATTATACAAAGTGGACTTGGAGAATGTGAATCATCTGTTGCAGTGAACCTGTGATTTAAGTAGGACTGTTGGTATTTTCTTTTAAATGCAGCTTTCTTTTAGTTGGCAGTCTTAGAGTCTTTTGCTGTCTCACCATTGAGTCTTTGACCCTTTCTCAAAGAGGCTTTCCAGTGACGTTTGATTTTTACTCATTTTGGGTAGAGCTAGTTGGTGGGTGTACCAAAATTGTGACCGAGACAAGTATGAAGTATGGGAAAGAGGTGCATATGGAAGTGGTAAATAAATTAATGGGTGGACCACACACAGACTAAAGTAATTGTCAGATTCTGACTTAAAACCTACTACCAGATGCAGCTGTACAGTTGAAATATAACTCACTTGCCACTAGGAAGCCTGCCACCAAGTGCAGCTTAATTTTTACTTGCCAGTCACTGACAGGGTTTTGATATGAGTCTGTGAACAATTGATTTATTATGGTCTCTATGCAGTCAGATCCTGATGCTTGCCTATTGTGGTGGCGCACACCTGTAATCCTAGTACTTGGGGAGACTGAGGCAGAAGGATCACTGTGAATTTGAGGCCACCCTGGGCTACATAGTGAGTTTAAGGCCAGACTGTACTACATAGTGAGACCCTGTCTCAAAAAAACTAAAAAACAAACAAAAACAAAAACCCTCTAATGCCAAACTGTATTTGCAACTGCTCTCCAGTGCTAACATCACTGCCTCAGCTCCACCCAGATCATCAGGCATTAGATTCTCATATTATATTTTAGCATATTATCTGCTATTTGTATTTATGTTTTTAAGAGAGAGGGTCTTCCTATATTGTCCAAGCTGACCCTGAACTTCTGGGCTCAAATAATCCTTCCTCAGCTTTCAGAGTAACTGGGACTACAGGTATGCACCACTGTACCTGATTGGTAATTTTTTTAACTCTAAAAAATTGTTCCTCAGGTCTCAGCTGAATGCCCGAAGGTGTATACTCTGATGAAGCTGGTAGTGGGACTCCCACTCCTCCTAGCCTACACTGCAACCTCTATTATTCAGTTCTTGGCCTGCAACAGTAGCTATCTGGTAGACCCTGTGGAGTGTCACCTAGCTCTCAAATGCTCCTGTCTCGGGACCCTAACCCCACCAATACCAGCTGCTTCAGCAGCCAGAACTCTGCTGTTGGACTCTTAAGCTAAGTTGTGGCACTGTGGTCTGCTTGGGCATCACCTCCTGATGCTACAGTTGGAAAGTTTTTCCAAGACAGAAATCTGGGACCAACCTGAGCTCACCTTGTGTTGTTTTTTACTTAAAATTCATAGTCCTGCATTGCTTAGTGTCCAGTGCCAAAATATACCTGCTCCACGTATTTTGTCTAGTTCCTTAGGCAGAAGGCAATTCCTGTACTAGTTATTCTAACACAGAAAGAAGAAGACTTTGTGTTGTTGGTGTTGTTTTTAACCAGTAGGTTACTTCTCTTTTTTCTTTTCTTCTTTCATTTTAAATTTATTTGTTGAAGCAACTGGTTAGTCTGCTCAGTGGAGCTTTCCATTTCCTGGACTTTTCTGATTGTATTGTGTTGTACTGGAGTGGT